GTAGAACTTTTAAAAAATTATCAGATTTCCTACAAGTATGTATTTTCTTCCTAAAGATTTGAAATCTGATGTTTTCACTAAAAGATGGTCTTGAAAAGTAATTTGACAAGTTCTCTTTTTTAACTTCAGTCAATGTTTATAATGTTTGTTCCTGTTTATATAAAATGTGAGGAAAACTAAGTTATTCCTATTGTTGATTGACATCTTAACCTGAAATATCCATCCCTGACTGTGATATCATGACGGCGAACAAGTCTTGAGTGATGAACAGGCTGTGTCTTCACATGGCCCCTAATTAGAAATCCACGGGGTTAACGGATCCATGCAATCCACTGTCAGGAAGATCTGTTGTGATGGGAGAAAGTGCCCTGGGAAAGTGCCTTCTGACAGCAAGTAGGTCTGTGGGTTTGGATTTGGGTCACCACCCCTGAGCAGTGCAAGGACAGCATGCAGCTGATGGTCAGGGAAGCTTGAAGCTGCGAGGGCTGGCACCAGATGGGTAGGTGCTGCCATAAAATCACCGTAAATTTTAATGCAGTTTTCTTTTTTTTTTTTTTTCCCTTTCCAAATTATCTGGATTAACTCTGAAGAAAACAGACCTTACTGGAGACCTGGGATCTTTTCAGTGGTCTTCCCTACCCTGCAGAATATGGATTCTTCCTCCATCTTGCATAGCTGTGCCTGCAAATCCCATCTTGCACGTTCCCAGGCGCTTGTTTCCAGTGCAATTTCTGCTTGGCAGTGAACTGCTATTTTTCCTGCTTCCCTTCCCATCCCCCAGCTCATGTTCTGAGCAGCTGTGAGGTGGGCTGATCCTGCCTGGAAAAAATTCTATCTGTTGGCCTGTCCTAGGAAGAGAATTAGCTATCCATACTGCTCTGCATCCCATGTTTCTTTCTTCTTCCTTCCCTTTCCATTCTTATCTCAGTTTCCCTTTTACTCCACTGCCTTACAAACTATAGTTCTCCCTCATTTTAATCTCTCCACCCCACCACCAGCTTAGTGGATCGAAGACATCAGAATCATGTAGCCAATTATTCCAAGACCCAAGAATTCTTCCTGGCAGTGGCTGGGAAATTTTGACATGTTGGGGTTTTCCGGGGAAATATTTTGTGAACATGTAAAGTTTGATTAAATTCTAAAATTTCAGCTCATATCTAGAAAGTAAGAGAGACACCCGCACTGCCTGACAGTCTCCTGGGAAGGTAGAAAAAGAACTAGAACCTAGATTTTCAACATTTCTGGAAGTTTCTTCCAGACTGTATACATCTTCCTCTCCAAAATATAAGAAATTTTAAAGATCTCCACATACTGGAACATATTTTCCATACTAGATGTTGCACATCTGTGGCTGGTTTAGAAGGGTTTAATTTTGATCTTAGCTCCTTATCCTACAGTTTGCTTAAGTATCTGTTTTTGTTTGTTGAGTTTCTTTTCTGCTACATTGCCAGTGGCTAAAATCCTTCTGCACAAAATCTTTCTTGCAGGAGATCTCATCATTCTGTATTGCAGTGGATGACACAGCCTCGGGTGCTACAAAACATCGCAAAGCTGCAAAACTACTGGACTAAGACAGTGAAGTTTTCTGCTCATAAGAAAGCCTCAGGTAACAGCACTTGTAAATACTGCTCATTAATGGGTATGCACTCGTGCTTTCCTGGCTTACTCAGTCCTCTCACAGCACAGTTGCGTGCTCCTGGGTGCCATTTCTGGTCTATGCTTTACCCTTTTTTGAAAACGTAGATTAAGCATGGGATGGTGGCCAGCACACAGGGAAGCAAAGTAATGGCTGAAAGCGGGAAATAGCCAATTAGAGCATCAAAGTCAGGGAAATTAAGCTTTGAGAGGAAAGGGCAGAAACAGGGTGGGGTTGGGAAGAGCAGGATAATAGCAGCCCTCAGGGGAGACACCGGAGTAGGAAATGGAACTACAATCAAAGAAGCAGAGGGAAAAATGCAAGTGTTATCCCTTGCAGGGATTGCCTAAGAAGGGAGAGAAGCAGAACAGGGAGAGAGAAGCACTACTGTATAATACATCCATTGATTTTGAAACTTGTTTAGCTACTGCACTCTCAGTGGAGCCTACCTGTAAGCAGGGCTGTGCAAGCAGCCCCTCCAGCATGGTTCAGCAGCCGAATTAGCTGCTAGTGAGTGCTCCTGCTTTGCTTCTCAGCAGCCTCCAGGCACCACTGCGGCTGCCTTTCTTCCTCTTTTCCCTAGTTCTTCCAAAGGCCCTATCATCTCACCTCTTCCTTTGAAATAAAGCTTGCTAATATCCTAATATGCCAGTATGACTGTGGTTTTGATAAGTCAGATCCTTGTTTCCAAGCCTTGATTATGTGTAGTTTGAGACCCTGTGTAACTGAACTGGATATTTTTAACTTGGTGCAGCATGGCAGTGAGGGTATACATACTTGGAAGTAGTGGAAACCTACACTTACTATGCTTAAGTCAATACAAGGTGACTGGAACAAAGATAAAATAAGAGAGTCCCTTCAGAGGTTGTTGCGTTTTTCTTTCTTTCTTTCTTTCTTTATTTATTTGGGGGGGGAAGGAGTTGCCCAAGAGACATTTCTGTTGTTAAAGGTTTTACATGGAAAATGAGATATTTACAAAACAGGGAAAATACTGAAATGTTTGTTTGGGTTGATTATTCCCCTGAATCATTTTAAATTGCAATATGCAAAGCAAAGTAATTTTTCTTGTATGTCACACTGTTTCATTAAGGCACTAACAGAAGACACTTGATCTAGAAATTAAGATAAGTTGCTTCAATCAGTACTAAGTAGCAGGTGCCCTTAGTGATTAAATGTAATAGAGTATTTCCATTATTCTATTAAGCTTTATGTCAGCAGTTGTCATAGTTCCTCTCATATCCTGAAATACTGTGAAAACATGTCCAGAACAACATTTCAGAATCTTAGAATTGTTGGTTTTGGAAAGTGAGAAATAGAAGTATTTTCACTTCATTGAAAATTCATAAAATTTGGGTTTGGTCTAAAGCTGATTAAAAACCAGGAAATGAAACATTTTCTTTTCCTGTGAAGGACAAATCATTGGGTTTAATGGTATTGCTGACACAGTCTAGGTATTATTCTGCTTCTTTATTTGCTGCATTATTTGTGAAGAACATGAAAGCACTGTTCTGCTGAGTAGTATGCTCTTTCCTGCCCTTTAGTGCTTCTCGTGTATTGGGGGTGTTGGAGGGAAGAGGAGAAAAAAAGAAAAAAAACAACCCCAAACCCATTACATAGCAAGCTAATTTACTATAGCAGCAGATACAGAAAGAGAAAAGCAATGGAAAAAATACTTGAGTGATGATTAGGTCAGTACCCTGGGCTTTTAGCTGCCATTTAAATTTAAATATGCACTGCAACATGAGGTAAATAGGGCAAATGAGTCTACAGAGAGCCTTCATAACGTGCAGTCTGAGACACTCATAGCAACATACCTTACAAAAGATTATGGCATGGGTTGTTGTGGTCTGGTGCTGAGAGTGGTCTATATTGCACAATCCCACATAAAGCATTCTCTGGAACAAAATAAAACTGTAAAAGCTGATAAAACTGTAAACATTACCTTGAGGTGGGTTATTGGGGCAGCAGCAAGGGGGCTCATGCTTGGTGCATTAAGCTCTCAGTCCTCTCATTCACATCATGTTTGCATTTAGGTTTGACAATATCTTTTCTGGGTGTATATTATATTACAAAACTTGACAACTGCAGAATTCCTTGTCTGACAACCCTTGTAAGTTAATAATGGACTTTTTTTCTCAAAGTAACCAGGAGGGAGGCATAGACAATGACTTATCTACTTAATTGAAATCCGAGGAGTTCAGTTCTGTTTTCATTTCTGTCAGTGCAATTCCAGGGAAGTCAATCATATGGAACCAAGTGTGCAATTTAATCCTAAATTGTTTGTTATATTCAAGATGCCTGTTTCCACACAGGGTGGAATACTACCAATCCTGAAAAAATATATATTAATTTCTTTCTCAGACGTGCATTCCATGATTTGTTTAAACTCTTTCTTGACAGCTGCTGCAAGAGGGAGAGGTGGCAATGGTGGGGTGGGGTACGCACCCTCTCCCCAGCCTACCATCTTGCTGTGGGAGAGAAGTGGGGAAAGCTTGGGATAAGGCATGGAACTCCTTTTGATTCCTCTCCTACCAACATAATAACGTGATTCTGTTAATTTAGATAAATTTAAGCGCCTGGTTCTCCTTTGTCTTACATCAACTGTTTATTATACTAATGCGTAATATAAATGTTGTCACTTCTGAGATAACAGCTCTGGTTCAGTGCCATTTTGTCTGCTTTTCTGCCCTGAGAGACATGCTGTTTGCCCAGAAATGTTGGCGATAGAAACCCACAGGCCAAGAAAACGGCATTCTTTGAAATAGTTTCTCAGTTCTCCAAATAGGCCCGTGCTGACTGAGATCAAATAGATAAATTGGTGAGATCCTGGCTGCTGTTTCACATATTCAAGAGGCAAATTCATCAGTCATCTGATTGCAGGAATTAGCCCAGCTCCTTCACAGAAAACTTCACTCAGAAGGGACCTCAGGAGATCATCTAGCCCTGCCGCTCCCCCAGTCCACATGGGGCCAGCTTTGAGGAGGTTACTCAGGGCTTTGTGCCCACCCAAGTTGTGAATATCTCTGAGAATGGAAATTCCTCTGTCTCTTGGGGAAACAATTTAAGTATTTAATTGCCCCATTATGATTTTTTCCCATAAAATCTAGTTGGAATTTCTCTTCTTGCAATTTGTGTCCATTTCCCCTCAGACTGTCCCTGTTTACCTCAGAGAAATTTGGCTCTGTTTCTTCTATGGATGCCCGATATATAATCAAAGGCAGCAATAATACATCTCTTTAACCTCCTTCTATCGTACTGAAGAAATTCAGCTCTCTCAACTTCTCCTTGGCCGTCAAGCACTCTGGCTCCTCTCTCAATTAACGTGGGCCTCTGTTGGACTTGCTGCGGAATGTCATTGTCACTCTTGTGCTGGGGTCCCCAGACAGACACGGCACTCCAGGTACTCACAACTACTGCATGGGATTCTGCTATGTCCTTTGCAGGACTTCAAATTTGTCTTTCTTGAAATCCCATCAGGTTTCCCTCAAACCATTTTCTGGCCTGTTGGTGTCTGTTTGCATAACAGCTCTATCTTCTTGCATACTGACTGCTTTTTCCAGGTCTGGCACTACCCACAAACTTGCTAAGGTGCACTCTGTCCCCAAATCCAGATCATGAGCATAGACAATACTTGACATTAAAAAGTATTATCCCCGGTATTGGTCCTTAGGGACCACTAGTTATCAGGCATCAGCTGAAATATGTAGCAACGCTCACAACCCTTTGAGCCTGGAGGTACATCCTGTTTTCTACGTACTTCAGAGTCCACCTATTCAAATTAAAATGTCTCTAGTTTGACTACAAAGGTATTATGGGAGGCTGTGTCAAAAACATTTCTGTGCTCAAGGTAAACAATAGCTGCTACTCTCATCCACAAGGAAAGTTTACAATTTATTGAAAAATGGTCACTTAAATTCCAGACAGCAGTCCTTAGGGAGAGGCAGTGCTGAGCATGTTCCCACTGTTCCCTGGCTTCTGCCTTCCTTCCCAGAGGTCTTCCATGTGTGAGATTGGTTCCAGCACATAACTGCATTCTTCCAGGCCCCAAAGCTATGCGCTAGTTTCCCATGCAGAGCTCAGCTTCTACATGCATTCCTTCTCATGTCAATAAGGAAAGACGCCAAGTACTTGAGAAAGTGAGTCGCAAACCACAGTCGCACGTAGGAAGTCTCATTTTAGCATCTCTTGATAGTGTTTTGTCTCCATCCAGTCCCTGCACATGATCTGAGGATGAAAATGTTCTTCAGTGGGGAAAGCACGAATGCTGTGTCAACCTGATGACCCCAGCTTATCCTGCACCCTCTACTAGAGCTGTTTGTCTCTATAATATCACCTAGCAGCCCTAAAAGTCTGCCTCTCCCACCTGACCCTAATATACTTATCACTGTGATCTTTAGAAAACACATTCATTTATCGTAACTACCAAAGCATCTGGAGTCAATGATGAAATTTGTGATGCTGCTATGGTAGGTGATATCCAAACATCATATACCCAGCCATTTTTTAGCTAACGAAGACAAAAGAAAAACAAGAGGAAAGCAGAGATGTGAACTGACTTGTACAACATTGTTCACATCAGAGGCAAACTCAGGATCCAGGGATTTAAAACATATTTGATCACCTGCTAGACTGGAGTTTCTGTAAATATGCTGTGGTTGTTTTCTGTGTGCTCCACACCACAGAATGCCTTCTGTATTCATTTAATCCTTTTTTTTTTCATGCCTCAAAATTACCCAACTCTTCCTAATAGCTACCAAACCTAAGGTCACATAATTTACCTCATAGGAACACAGGAACTGTGTAAATAAGTCTCAATCCCTGCTCTTACTTGTCCTGTGCATACCAAACTTTATCTCTGAGTCCTTTTGTTTGCCTCCCTGGACTTCTAGGTTAGGGCTCCACACTGCGTGTCTCCACACTGTACATACCAAAACTACCTCTTGGTCTCAGGAGATGTTGATTATAAAAATGTGTAGAGTCCCCAGCCTTTGGCAGGCCAAGTCTTCTTGCATTACCTGCAGAAGGCTGACTTCCCTTGCTGGTCCTGAGAATTTATTTTGCTTCCAAACCAAAATTTAAATTATTCTGCTAAACCTTTTCTCAGGAAAAGACAGGAATGTTCCTGGTGCACTGTGATTAATCCTAGGAGTTTTTGCTGAGGTGTCCTCTCTGATCACCTTTCTATTTCCCCAGCAATAACCAACACAGATATTGCCATAAACTTAGTCTGCATTCAGCTGCTGAATTAGAGCCCATGAAAGCCTGGGTGAGGTGAGCAGGAGTGCTGGTGTTGTATGTGTATTCTGGGTCCAGGCTTTGGTTGCTGCAGGATCTAGGGGCGGATCCTGGCTCCAGAAAACACAAGCCAAGAACATGCTTCTGCTGCTGCCACAGCCTTCAGAGGCAGGAGAACAAAAGCAAGCAGGAGCCCAGGCTGGCCTTAAAATGCTGAGTGGGGCTTTCGGAAGGAAAGGAGAGAATGAGGTGATTGGGTTGTTTAAACAGCTGCAGTGAATCAGCAGCTCCCTTCCCCTGCCCACCCCTCGCTGCACAGCAGCCCCCTCCATGCCAAATAAAACAAAGCAATCCCAAAAAGTGCAGTCTACCACAGTGCAGCCGTTTCATGCTGCAAGACAGAACCAGCCCCTAAGCTAGAGAGAAAGGAAAGATGCAAAGCTGGTGGGATAGGGGGTTTCTTAACAGGAACCGCAAAGAAGGCTCGTTCCAGCAGCAAAGGAGAAAAAATAGAGGGAAACACAGAAAAGGGAAAGGGCCAAACTTAGCTTTACTGTAAGCAGAGCAATCTAAGCTAATCACAGTGAAAGTTCCTTTTAGTTAGAGAAGGATGAGACGTGCTACTGCTGCCATCTGTGACCTGTGGTCCCTGGTTTAGCTGGCTAGCCCAGCTTCTGTGGATAGTGAAGACCCTAAATCAATCAAGCTCTGTGGAAACTTAGAGCACCTGGAGCTAAGCTCAGGCCACAGCTGAGAAGTTCAGAAGCTTTGAAGAATCACACAGATTAAAAAGGGAGCTTGGGGGCTGGTGTCCTCTGCAGATCAAAGCAGTGTTTTGAGGAGAACCCCAAAGATGACGATCCGTAGGAAATCAGTGCAAGAGACAGGTGAGTGAACGTTGCTAATATTTAGCAAACAGCAACGGAAAGGCTTAGCATATAGCCACCCAGCATTTCTCCTTCATCCTGCCCCCCTTCCCAGCCGCTCAGTTCAGCTTTTTGTCAGGCTGCTGTGTGATCTGCTCGGCCAGTGCCCACTTAAGGATAGTTATTGCAGGGAGTGCAGTTAGAGTCTTTGTAATTGCTCAGCTGATGGTGTAATGGTCTCTCTGAGGATTCAGCCCAGCAACAGTAATGATACAGCTGGCCTGTCTTGTCTGATGGGATCATTTCCACTTTATTATAACTGTGATTTTCAGCTCAATAATTCCAGAGTATTTTTAGACCCTTTGAGATGAAAGAATGTGCTGAATTTGCTATGGTTTTTTTTTTTTTTTTTTTTCCCTTTCTATTTTTTTTCCTGTTCTCTCTTAACTGGTGACCAAGAGAAAAAGAAATTCCCAAGCCAAGTCAATCAGGGATCCCCCAGTTCATTATTTTTTTTTTCTTCCTGTACCTTTTCCAAAAGAGAAGGGAGCTCTCAGCAGGCTGCTGAAAGAGGCCTGGATGTTTCCGGGGATGAACTGAGAGCCTGGACATAAAGTGAAGAGGAATTTCAGCTGAGACAACCTTCCACTCTGTAATCTTATGAAAAAGTCTCCCACAGCGTGGTGAAGGGTGAACTTTGCTTCTTCATTTAGAGCCAGAGCAGAAAAATCTCCAACTAGAGGAGTGTAGGAAATAACGCAGTCCTAATCATCACCATCAGCAGCCATCCTTTTCAGCCTTTCCAGTTGCTAGAATCACCTTGATAGCCGTGTCCTTCCTCCAGGTCATTTGTCTCCCAACATTCCCAAAAGGAAAAAACAAATGGTTGCCCCTTGGCAGCTCCCAGAAGACACTTCCTCATCCTTCTGGCAGGTGACAGAGCACGACAGCTCTAACTTGTTTCTCTTGCACCTCTTTCATGCGGGATAAAGCCATGCCCTACTACATCGAGGGGAGGGGATACAGCTGTGAAAGCTGCTCTACTTCTCCTTTGCCATGTGCAGATCAGCAAGGGATACCCTGTCAGTTGTCATTTCTGTGTATGTCTGCTTCATGTTCTGGTATTAAAGCCCAGGGCCTCAGGCATCTATTGGATTTTGTTTAAATGCTTTATTGGATTTTATGAACCTCATATACACCAGACAGACCGTAGGAGACATGTCCTGGTGATATCCACAATAACCTATTAAAATCCCAGCCATGTTTTAACTCCATTTTCAATGAACTATGGAGACACAACCCTTTTCTCTATAGGGTGAACAGAGATCTCATTAACTGCATTTAATTGAGAGTGGCAGCTAGTGGATTTTATACATTAGGGAGCACTTCTGTAGACATTGCATCTTTCAAATGCATACACTGAAAAATTATAATGAATCCCATGATCGATACAGAATCATCTTTCTTGTTTCCACTGATGCTTCAGTTCCAAGGTTACTTGAATAGATGAGCTTCAGTTAATAAAATTCACATTTTCTTCACTCTACAATATTTTTTTATAAACTGCTCCCTACTTTATTTTTTCCTGTTTCTTTTGGCATCATCTTTATCAATTGGTCTTTCAAAACAGCTTAAAATACTATACACACACACACACAACCTTCTGGTTGAGGATTTCAAAGCTCCCAGGAGCTGCAGAGAATGCTCTTTTAAAGTGTATGGTATTGTTTCTATTTTGGAGATTGCAATGAAGGCAGAGAGCAGCTAGGTGTTTCTCACACTGTGTGGCACACAGGAAGGCAGCAGCTGGCTGAGCTGTTCACAGAGCTTTGAAACCCCAGGCCTCAGAGCAGGGCACTGATGCTGAGACATCGCTCCTCCACAATTCACTGGAGGTTCCGGGGAAGGTGCGTGAGCTCCTTTGTGTTAGGGAGTGAGAGAACCAACCAAGAATGTCATTTGAGGTCAGTAATCCACTGAAAGCAACAAAAAGGTAGTGGGAAGAGCAGCCATGTGGCGTGCGTGCCCATATGCACACGCTTACACCCACGCACACACGCTGTGAATGAGTCACGATGGCACCGCATGGCACCTTCTCTTGGAAACCATGTGAATGGGAAGGGGTGCGTGAAGATGGTGTATTAGAGGCTGCTCTTAGGGACCGTGACAGCCTTTCTTCAATGGACTGCACTAACCCAGTTAATTTTAACAGAGTCAAGCACTGTTTTGGTCATTTGGTGCATATCTGTTAGAGAATCATCTTCATCATCGTAGGTCAGCCTTACCCTGTGGACCACCTCTTCTTACCGATGTTAATTCCCTTCTGAGCTTGACAGCTTTGTGAAGGTAGTTGCACAGCTCCTCTAGGACTTCCTACGCCCCAATTTGATATATGTTCGGAGCTTTGAAAACATCTGCTTTCTGACTCAAGTGCTTCAGGCTTGGTCTCTGAAGTTTGATTGTTTTGGAAAGTTTAAACAAATTCTTTTCTTCTGTTCGTCTTTTCGGGTCAGGAGAAGACGAGTGCTTGAGAGTCTCTCAATAATAGCCACAGTACCCACTGGGGATGGGGAGGTGCCAGATTCTCCCCTGGTCCACGATTTACAGGCTGTTCAGGCCTCAGCCTCTGTGCTGGAGTTGCTGATACCGGGGTGTCTGTGTCCTCCTGCCCTGCCACCTGGGTGCCGTGGCAGGAGGCACAGCTCGTGCTTAGGAGGAGCAGGAGGCAGGGTGGCTCCCTGGCAGGAGAGAGGCGTGAGGCAGCTGCCAGGCTCTCCTGCCATCAGCTCAGTGGCTAATTGTTTGCATAGCTTCGCCTTTCCCAGTGGTCTCCCCGTGTCCTGTGCTCCTCATGTGGTTTCCATTAAGGTCAGGGTGGGGGAAGGGAAGCACGTGAATTATTGCAGTATTTACTCTCACTGATCGTGCCAAAGCTGGGAGCATCTCTGGCACAGAGGCTGCAGGGAGCTGCAGGCAGGGCACAGACACAGACTTCAGTGTTAACTGCACTGACCAAAAAACAGAAATCTCCCTCTCCCATCCCCTCACAAAGACCCTGAGCACCCCCTTTTCTCAGAGCGAGCTGTACAATAAGGAATATGAGGTTGACTCAGATGGGAGTGAGAATAAATCCACCACCCAGCTGAAAAGAATACGGCAATTTGAGCAAAGTGATCAACCCAGGGAGTGTGGCTACCATTTCCAGGACTGGGACTGCCAGGAGAATTAGCGTAAATTCAACATCCACAACAGGGCAATGGGAGAATCTCTGCCTTCTCTTCTGTGTGTGCTCTGTGGCTGGCCTAAGGACCAAAGCGTTCAGCTGGCCTCCTCCTTACAGACTTCCCTGGCAACTGATGAACCTCTCAGAGTATCTTAGTTGTCGTCTGGCCACCTCTGTCGCATAAAATTAGCATTTTTCAACCCTTCACAAAATAGTTTTCAGATAGTTCAGGTAGGTTTTATTTGCCCTTGTTTTCTTCTTTCTCTGGTTTCAGTAGTCCTTGGTTTTAATGCCAGTAGTGTGGGTAACCGGCAAAGCAAGTTGAAATGGGGACTACGTGCCTTCTCATTCGGCACTGCCTTTTACCGGAGATGCTGCAGATGCTGGAGTATGAAGGTCAGTGCTTCTCTATTAGAAGTCTGTATCCCAGGAATCCTAAGGACATCCTTTTCTTACATTAAGCTCCAAAGGATGCTCCTCTCCTAGTGTTTTGAATGCTCTTTGCTAAGTCAACTTCAGATGAGCAAGGGTACTGGGTGCAGGTCAGAGACTCAGAGCAGCTTGATACTGATGGCTGTTCTAAGAGCAGAAGAGCTTGAAAGGGAAATGATTACAGCCTGACAGCTCCTGGCAGGGTTTCTCTGGACAAGCTCCTCATCCTCATGCTTGGCTTTTCCTTTGATGGGCAAAAGGGCAAAGTTACATGTCCAGAGTAATTTTCTTAATGTTACATGGATAGGTTTCTGATAGGGGTTCATGGACTTGCATGGAAGAAAAAGCTGCCCAGAGTAAAGAGGGTAACAAGAACAAAAAGTAGATCAAGTGAACGCTCTCCCCTTTGACTGTCTTCTTTGAATTATAAACTACACCTTGTGATGGCAGGAATATCCTGACATTTCCTTTGGAGGCTGAACTGTTTATGCAAGTCTTCGCACTCTAAGGTTAGAGCAACGCAGTGCTCTTTGGAAAAGTGATGAACCTAGAAGCTATTCACAAAAATGGCAGCAAGCCCAGAACATATTGCTGCTACAGGGCTGGAGTGCATCTGGGACTGGGCACGTCAGTGCTTGTATGTGCACAACAGCTGTGTGCCAGGGTGCAAGCACAGGGGGGGCACAGGCGTGTGCATCAGCGGGGCTGTAGGTGTCAAAGCCAGCTGGAAGCTGAAGCCGTGCATTAGCGTTTTCAGGCTGTTGGTGGTGTTGATTTCCAAATGGACTGATGGCATAGTCTTCACAGGTTGGGCAGAGCTATCATCTTCGCTACAATAGCACTCACAGGCCCTGTTGTGCTGGGTAAGACTCAGTGTGTGTGTAAAAAGGGACCTGCTGTGAAGGAGAGCAGGTGCACGTCCAAAAGGCAGAAAAGCTGCTACAAAGGGGCAGTGCAGAACACTGGGTGTGTAGAAGCCCGTATGCCTAGGCATTAGGTCTGACCATGTGAAGTTGCTTGGGTGTTCTCATTTGTTTGTTTGTTTTCAAATAAAGATGCATGCTGCCTTAATAATCCAAGAACATCAGTTTTACAGCATCGAAAAATGGCTAAAAATACATAGTTGTGTGAAAATCTGTTTTTAGTTAACATTACAGCTCTGAAAAGCAGCCTGATGAAATAAACCAACAGCCACGTGGACTACTGATGCCTGGCTTTCTAAGATTCTCACAAGATTGACCCCAACAGGGTCTGATGTGTGGTAGGATGTAAGTAACTTTCAAAGGTTTTCCCACAATGGGAACATTTCCACCAATATTCTCTGCCATGGAGTCTCTGGTATCTAAGTCCCAAGCTCACCCTGCAGCATTTTCTCCTGTGCAGGAGGGGTGCACAAAAGGAGGGTTTCTCTCCTCTACCCAGCCACTGATTTTTTCCAAACCTGTAGAAGCTGCATAGTTTGGGGCCAAGAAGCCCTCTTTGGTTGGACTTAAACTAGTCAGCAAAGTCAAAAGTTTTGTTGGGATAGTATGGATTGGTGACAAAAGGAGAATTGGGTTTCTTGTGGTTTGTTTCTTTAGTAAACTAGGCTAAAAACAACTCTGAATGAAAAATTCCATCCAGCTCCAGTCACTACTTGGCATGTTATCAAAGGTTGCTCTCTGGCTGGAGAGAAATAGGCTTCATGGCTTCGTGAAGCTTAAGGAATGGACTGTAGTCTATACTACTTAGGTTGTTTCAGATTTCTGTTTGCCAGGGTCACCAACAGTAGGAAAAAAGACAATAACTGCTAACAAGACTTTCTGGGAATCTCCCTCAGTCTGTGTTAGTGTGCTGGGGTGGAAGTGGGAGGGGAGGAAGGGGTCAATTTCGTGGATTTTAGTCTTCCTGGATACGTGGAAAGACACCTGCAATTTGTTAGCAAGTCAGTAAAGGTGGCCTGGCAGTTCTGACATTTCCAGGAACGTCAGGAATGAAACCTTAACTAGTCACAGTTTGCAGAGAGGACGCTGTGGTGGTTTGTCATTGACTGGGCCTGTGCCTTTTAGGAGGAGATTCTTCAACAACCCCAAATTCCAGCAGCAGGGCCTTCCATCTGTCTCACACATGACGCGTTTTCCTCCCACATCTCCTGATGAAGACTTGGTAAACGAGAATCTCAGAGGCAAGGCGTTTGCTTGCAGGTCCAAGCCCTCGTAGGAAGGAGCGCTCTGCTCTGCACATCATTAGCTTGCGGTGAGCTGAGTTAACCCCAATGGTATCCCAGTCCTCTTCCAGTAACCACTGGATTCATAGATGGAATCATTTTGCCATTCACCAAGATTTCTTGTATCTCTTCTTGTTGCAAGTGGAACCAGGCCCAGTGTGTTTTAAGGGACAGTCTAGCATTATCCCAGGGCCAGGCTCCTTAACTTAGCAGTGATTCTACCCAGAGGGGCCCCGGTGCAGAGGTGACTGTTCTGGAGAGCATGTCTCAGCCTCTTCCCAGCATGTTCGGATGGCACCAGGCAGGCAGACTGCATGGTTTTGGGGTGCTCTAATAGGGATGGGAGGTCATTGGCTTGCTGCAGATCAATTACATGCAGGTAGAGCTGCCATTCCTAGGATGGTAAGGGTGCTCGAAGGGCAACATACTCCAACTCAAGAAGAATAACAAAGCTGTACAGTCCGGTGACAAGTTTTTGATTTAGTGATGGGCCATTGGTTCCTGAGGGAAACACTCCACTTGCTCCTCAGCAAACTCTTTTGCCTTTGGTGGGTGCTAGAAGTTTCACGAATGCTGGAACCTTTTGGTGAAGTTAGAGATCACCATTAGACACAGATCTGTGTAACTGTTTTTGCCCAGGCAGATGTAAGGCAAATTTCTCACATCATTTACCACCACCTGCTATGCAGGACTTTGTTGACTCTTGCTAGTTGTTGAAAGTTGAATCGCCTTCTCTGGGTCACTCAAAGTCTGTGAGATTGTCAGTGAGCTTTAATGGCAGTTTTTTTGAGCCATTCTCATTTCCGTTTTTTAGAATTAGAAAATCAAGTCACATTTTTGTTAAAGGGACTCCTCCCTGTCTTTGTAGCCAGCAGGACTCGGGTTTACATTCTGCTCAGGAAAGGCTAACTATTCTGTTCCTTCCTTCTGGAGCCATGCACTCTCACTGGAATTCAGCCTGTCTGTAATTCCTCTGAATTGTGATTTGGGATTTTTCTTGTGCGAGGTTCTTGTCTTATAGGCTTGGTTTGAAAAGAGGCATGCTGTGGGTTAAAGGAAAAATGACAAAAGCATCTATAGCCAGAGAGAAGCAAAAGAGTTTGGACAGAGCAAGATATTACTTTTCTGTGAATCTCTAAAGCTTCTCTGAAAGTGTTTCAAGCCATTCAAATGCCACTTAAATCTGTCAGTCCTGGAGAAATACAGTAGTCTGGTGCCACAAGCTGCTTCCTACATAGTTCAAAGCAAGGGAATCTATGCCTTTCTCTGTGCTTTAGAGACACTCGTGTCAGCTCTCGCCCCTCTTCTCGTTAGTGCTGCATATGGGCTGAAGCAGAGCTTGTGCTCCCCAGCAGCCATCAGAAGCGGGTGCCGTAAGCCTCCCGCTGCCAAACCCAAGATGCCTTGAAACGTTCAGCTGGCAGGGAGGCCGTGGAAGTGTGAAGCAGCAATTCACCTCTGCAGCTCTGGGATTAGCTTTTGACAAGGTCGCGTCAAGAGAGTTTATCTGATCGTCTCAAAATGTCTTGCTGGCGCAGACTCCTCCACAGCCTCGTTCACTGCAGTTTTGCTACAGTGAGTAGTTTTTACTCCTGGAGGGGAACAGAGGGCAGGTTGGTCCTATAACAGGGGTCAGTCTGAGTGCATCAGCTGGGGCCCTGGTCACAGGGGGCTGCAGGGACTCTGAACTGGAGCATTAGAAGTTGCAGGGAGCTGAAATGAATCAGCTGAGCTGCAGAACAGAACCAGGCACCATCAGTCTGATTCAGCAGGGTGCCATGCAGAAACCTTTCTTCCCTTTTGTTCACTTGCAATAATTCAAGGTTTTAAAGGAGAGTCCAGGAAGCCCCAGATCCTGGATAGACTTATGGCAGATGGCTCAACTCCGCGTGCAACTGGCAGCATTCTGCCCCAACAAACCAAGCCATTTTGGTGTTCGGATGTCTTGGACATCTGAATACTTTTTGGGTAGTGCCCTGCACTGCTCTCAGCCTTTCATCTGTGAGCACAGCCTGTACAGCCGCTGCCATCCTTCCTTGGTCCTGTTCCCTGCCACATCCCCTGAACCTCCCTCAACCTCTCCTGACTGTGGACACCACAGGTGATCCCCTTGCTCCCAACCTGTTTTGCTGCAGCTCCCCTCAGAGCAAACCTTCTGCTAATGGCACTGCCTTCAGAGGAGCCTTCTCCTCTACAGTTACCCTCAGCGCTTTCAAAGTCACCTCTCCCCAGGCATGCTCACAGGACTTCCTTTCCACTCGTTTCCTTTATTTGGGAGAACAGCTGGACAATTCCAGCTGTTTCCCTCCACAAGCAGTTTCGGAAATGAGGTGATAACCTCAGTCCTTCTTGAGCCGTGAGGTTAGCTGGGGGAGGGCTGCAGATTAAATTAACAGCCCAAAATATTTGAGGTTGAGTGCAGAGAGGTGGGGAACCGGTGGAATTTTCCATCTTGCCTGGGCTGTATCCCTCCCACCCTGAGCTGCTTGTTAAGCCTCAAGGGCACGCAGCCTGCCTACTTTGTCCAATAATTTTAATCCTTTGGTAGTGTTAACACGGGAAGCCTCATTACATCTGGAGCCTTGTGCATGAATTATCCCTGAAGGTCAGCAGGAGGCACTGTCAGAGGTGCAGCACGTTCCTTGGGGTCAGTGGTGAGATGATCTTACACAAGCACAACCCTTTTGGACTTCCCCCAAAGTGCTGGTGCTGAGGGAGGGATTTGCAGGGTGATTCACAGTGCGGGATGTACAGGACA